ACCCCCTACCTGTATGTACCTGGACGGGACCTGCCAGGGGTACATCACTTCCTACCTGTATGTACCTGGACAGGCTCTGCCAGGGGTTCATCACCCCCTACCTGTATGTACCTGGACGGGACCTGCCAGGGGTACATCACTTCCTACCTGTATGTACCTGGACAGGCTCTGCCAGGGGTTCATCACCCCCTACCTGTATGTACCTGTACGGGACCTGCCAGGGGTACATCACTTCCTACCTGTATGTACCTGGACAGGCTCTGCCAGGGGTACATCACCCCCTACCTGTATATACCTGGACAGGCTCTGCCAGGGGTACATCACCCCCTACGTGTATGTACCTGGACAGGCTCTGCCAGGGGTACATCACCCCCTACCTGTATGTACCTGGACAGGGCCTGCCAGGGGTACATCACTTCCTACCTGTATGTACCTGGACAGGGCCTGCCAGGGGTACATCACTTCCTACCTGTATGTACCTGGACAGGCCCTGCCAGAGGTACATCACTTCCTACCTGTATGTACCTGGACAGGCCCTGCCAGAGGTATATCACCCCCTACCTGTATGTACCTGGACAGGCTCTGCCAGAGGTACATCACTTCCTACCTGTATGTACCTGGACAGGGCCTGCCAGGGGTACATCACCCCCTACCTGTATGTACCTGGACAGGCCCTGCCAGAGGTATATCACCCCCTACCTGGTTTATCACCCCTACCCATGCTTACCTGGGAACATCACCATAGACAGTGACTCCGAAGCGGATGCCCTCCTGACCCATGGTGAGTTTCTGAAAGGACTTCATGATGTCCATGATGAAGTCTTTGATGGCATGAAGGCCACTGGGCCCTGTGGTCCAGGACTCAGCCAGCAGGAACACGATGTCTGCTGACAGCGCGGTGCGACACTCTGAGAAGCAGACAGACAGACAGACAGACACATACACACACACACACACACACAGCAGTCCATGTCAGGAATGTGTCATTGTGAGTGTGTACCTATACTCACGTGTGATACCAGGAGAACAATCGCATTTTCCATTTTAAGCCAGCGAATGTCTGCATTCAAATCAGTTACACTTAAAAACCTTACTGAAGCAATTCTGCTGTTCAATACTCTGCTGCCTTTTGTGCCGAGTGAGAAATAGCAGACCTGCGTGGCAGAGAAATCTGATCATCCCCCAGCAGGTGGCAGTATAGGTCAAGTAACGTGCAAGAAGGGTACAGCCACTAAAAAGTACAGAGGTCATCAGTATTCCCCACACTGCAGCGAGCCGTGAGCGACAGAGTCATAAGATAAACGCCTTATCACTGCTGCATCCTGTCGCACCCCCCGCCCCAGTTAACACACACACCACGAACTGCACACACGATGACGCGCACCACACGTGTATAAATGCCGCCGCATATACAGACATGCCTTAGGACCTCTCCATCCATCTGCGTATGTCTGTGGATGGGCGGGGTGCACTGCGTGTGTAACGAGAGCAGAAAGGCTCTCCTGGATCCCCTAACAGCAGAGACGGGAAGCAGGTGAAAGAGCGATGCAGGTTACCGCGATCATCAATGCTGGCCCAGGTCTCGAGACAGGAACCAGCATCAGAGCAGGAGCCTCCCTATACTGTAAATAGCGTAAACATCGGGGGAATGGGGGTGTCCCCCAGAACGGCAGCCTTAATGGCATCGTGCTCTTTCTCTGAGAGTTTGCTGCTGAAACACTCAACTTTACAAATAAGTAGCCAAAGCCCACGCTGGCTCAGTGTGCTGTGTGATTTATCTCCCGCGTGTTAATGGATCTGAAGTCATTTGACAAAGAGCTGCATCTCCGAGCGAATTAGCAAGCCCCCCCAAAGAACACCCCAAACAGAGCGCTTGCTCACTCCCGTTGGCATGGTTACTGTCGCACGGCTGCAACTTGGACGCTCCCGTTTTTACTTGACTCCCGTGTGTGGGGTAAAGAAGAAGAAAACAAGAATAAATCACGATGAAGGAGAGAATATGAAAGGAGAAGCTCTCGAAGTTCAATGTCGGACGACTGTCAATCACTCCAAACCCCTACACTATTAAACGCGGAAAATGACAGCGCTTACAGATGTAAGTGGCTCTCGTAATTAGTCCCCTCCATCCAATTACAAACCACATTTTCCCTCTGCCAATCAGATTTTGTAGTGGGATCGCTTCCCACAATGCCCGGCTCCTTTTAAAATGCAACACTGATTGTGACTGGGGGCAACTGAGGGTGGGTGAGGAGGCGAAGTACAAATTTGGCAGCAGATGCAAGTACCTTAAGCAGACGGGATACAAAGCTGAGATCCACGCACCAGGCAGACGTTTAAAAGGCTGACCTGAGCTGGAGGGGGGGGGTCAGCAAATAGCAGCTGCTTTTATTTCAGGCTCAACACTTAACACTTCCTGCTGATTTCACAAGCTGCGTAGGTAATGACAAATCTGGAAGGATCTGCTGCCGAACAGATACTGGAAAGAGCATTAAATGGCACCAAATGGCTCATTGCTTATGCGCGTGACACACAGGGAACTGTGTCCACATGTCTGTCCCACCACCGCCACTGTTTCTAGCCAGAAAGCAGGCAGGATGATGTCGGGTCACATGTCAGCTACAGACACGTGTGATTGGCTAATCCAACCTCAATCTGGAGAGACATCAAGAAAGCAGGAGAGCTTCTCCTGAGCTCTGTCATGATTGTCCCAAACGGACCCACGTGGGTGATGTACGTGAAACTGGTTCAGTTCCGATGAGCCTGCGTTCACACTGTATGAACGTGGATGGGTTTTCTTGGATGCATTAAGGGGCGTGAAAGAGTGCATTATGGGGTGGTGGTTCCTACCTTCAGCCTGAGATGGTACCATGCTGACAGACAAAGTCAGACACAGGAGACAGGACCACGCCTGTGAAGGGCGCATGGTCCACACTGCGCTCTCCTCCTCTTCTTCCACCTCCTCGAAACCCAGGCCTCCGCCCCCTCCTGCAGCACCTCCTCCCTCGCCGCAAACCTAATGCAGCTCCCTGTTATCTGAGGCTGGAGAAAGCAGGAGATAAAAATCACCGTCATATTCACTGTGAAAAATCACTCCGAGATAAGCGTTCTGCCCTCGCATTTTCCATTTCGGTGCGGCCTCTCTGAAATGCGACGGGCTGCAGATAACGCATATTTCACTGGAATCTCTCCCAGCTTCACCCTTTGGGAAGGAAACCTTGTCTAATCACTGGAGGACTCTAAAGTCATGACAGTTTAATTGATTTAGCAATTCAACATGCTCCAACTTTGCAATTTACAACTCTGTGCTGCATCCAGTTAAGGTTTCCAGTCAATATATACACTAGTAAAACCACAGTGAATGTTTCCTAGTTCAGTCAGTTAACCCCGGATGCATGAAGGCTAGTGATTTGTCTGTCTACCAGTTGGCTAGGAGGTGCCCAAGCCTGCAGATGAAGTTGCCCGCGATACCACATGTGCTGAGGCCAAAGTATGTTCCTCCTCTCAGGTCATGATCAGACTCATTGCGACACTCTCATGAACAAGCGATTCATCATAAATGGATAGAATATGATATATAAAATAAATGACCTGTGACAATGCAGCTAAGCAAACTGCTGTCTCCCCATTGTCCGCAGTTTTTATATATATATATATATATATAAAAGTATGTTGTTTTTTTTTTGTGATTACTTTTGAAGGAGCTACTGGATATCCGAATTCCCCCCTCGGGGATAAATAAATTAAGTATATATATATATAAAATATATGTGTGTGTGTGTGTGTGTGTGTATATGTATGTGTGTGTGTGTGTGTGGTGTGCGTGTGTGTGCGTGTGTGTGTGTGGTGTGCGCGCGCTGACATAAGGAACATGTGTGTCTGTATGTGTGTGTTTGGGAGCCAAGAGAAGCAAATTACTAATCAAGGTCCAGCCCCCTGACGTTAGGACCTGGGCACGGTGTGACAGTTCCGTGACTGTGCTGTAATGACAGAGAGGAGGTGTGCTGGCCACATCGAGGGAATCCCGGCAGCAGAGGACATGCAACGGACCAGATCGGATTCTGCTTCTGAGCACGGTTAACGTCCTTTTGGCTGGTAGACAGCCAGGGTGGACGGTTTCCCAAAGCAAAGCCCACATGGCCCCATGGCGCGTGCCATTTCACAGGCTCGGCGGGGGGACTCGTGCCACGGCCCCGGCCACCCTGAGCTACCCCTCGTTGCCTTACTACACTGTCCTCACAGGCTTGCCAGCTGAAGCGTATCTCTGACAGTCATTTCACCCTCTTTGCTAATCAGTCCTGCTCAGTGTGGCACACATGCAAGCAGCTTCATGGTTCTGTTTAAATCTGCCAAAATCAGACCCCCCCCCTCCCCCAATCCCACTGCCAACACAGTCCTCCAGCAGCTAAACTTCACCTGTATGTGTAGCCCTATGATCCAAGCCTTCTGTATGTATTTCTAAGCCTCATTTGAAAACACAAGCTTGCTGATCTTAACCCCCACCTGACAGACTGGATTTCATATTTCCTTCTGCCCCAACCAGATAGCAAAACCCATGAAGGTCTCAGCATCCCAGAACATCTGGCTGACACTTGCAGTGAGGTGTTCCTGCTCCCAATCATGGGTCCCTGTGTGTCTGTCATGACCATATCCCTGCAGCATCTTCGGGGGGGGGCATACAGACAGGGCAGCAGCTATCAGCAGAGCCAGTTGGGGCAGGAGTGTGGAGAGGGAGGATTAGGAACATTCCATACAACCAGGGGGGTGTCGGCTGAAGAACGAGAATCTGTCACCATCACACCATCGTGGCCAAAACCGCCAGAGACGCTGCATTCCAAGGTCAATCACAATCTAGCAAAAGCTTCCCCGCAGGAGAAAAACACTTCAAATGCAGGCTAATCAAAGAAAGTTCCAGAAAGACCTGAGGCTGCAGCCAGTTCCCAGGCTCTCTCACTCTCTCTCTCCTTTCACTTTTTCTAAGTTACTTATTGGCACAGCAATACGCACTAAAACTACATGAACCATTATCTGCAGCCAACAACCTCAAAACCATAAATCAGGTCAGCAAACAAAAGGGAATAGAGGATCTCACAGCGTCCTCGGGCACTCCTCTCCATGGAGCGGGTATCCAGGACGACCCACTCAGAGGTCCAGTGCCACACGGCGACACAGCTACCACTGGCTGACTGGGATTTGGCCGCCGCCCTCTTGCCGGAGGCTAAAGCAGAGGCCATCTTCATCTGTGCCAGTCTGGGGCTTGGGTTAGGGGAGCGGGGGGCTACCATTAGCTCATGCTAGCTACACAGCACTGCCTCGCAATATGGATCTGGAGCACTGCAGATCAGTGATTTGCTGGACAACCTGAACTATTCAAACAGGTTCTGCTGCGTGGAGTCGAGGCTAGTAAATGATCTGCTGCTAGGCTACTCAAAGGTACAACCACAGGTCCCTCGAGGGCAGAGTCAGGGATGTCTCTGATGTGCTAACATCTGTGCCAGAGATCAGAGCCAGGGTGATCGTATCCAGAGGCTCAGGTGGGGACATCACTCACACCTCCAGGCAGGACAGATGTGGGGTTTTTGTGGGTCACAGGAGCACCAAACCCAGTAGTAACAACTGAGAGACACACTGACATCTGGGCTGGCTAACAGGTGGTCTGCACCAGGGAACGCCCCTCCAGCATTGCCTACGAAAGGGCACACTGATGTCTGGGCTAGCTAACAGGTGGTCTGCACCAGGAACCACCGCTGACAACAGGTGGGAGGGGGTTTGTCTCATTTCACATCTCAGCAAGCCCAGCATGCAGATACACACACACACTCACACACGCAGCTGGACGCAGCTGCAGGGGTCAGCCAATCACAACACAGCAGCCTAACCCTAACCTACCACTGGCTGCCTATCTCCAAATGCCCCAGAGGTGACACGCTGGATGGCATTTCTTCATCTTTTTAGCCATTTAATTTTATCTCTACACAGCCCTGAATGACACAAAATGTGAGTTTCAGCTCTGTAAATGTCTGTGGTTTGTCTGCATGCATTCTGCCCAAAGTAACCACTCCAGTTACATTGCCCACTCCAGTTACATTGCCCAGAATCCTTTTTTAAAACACGTTTTTAAACACATTTTAAAGAAGAGGAAAACATGCCTTGTGAAAAGCTAGCTGGAAGTCATTTTTCAGACAGTCTTTGCAGCCCAAGCTCTCCTCTCCAGTACAAATTAACACTATACTGACAACAGGTACTATATATATATATACTGACACATATAATATAATTTTATATTTAATATAATTCCATGACTGCTCATTGCAAGATGATGGCTTTGTGACCATGCAGGATTCACTGGGAGTTACATTTACTGGGAATAATCAGATTCCCAAGCCCCCCACAAAGTTTCCCCACACAAAGTTTGGCTTCACCGGGACATCTGGAGGTAGGAACTATGAAAGACAATCCCTCACAGTTCGGTAAGTCCATCCGTGTAGGTTCCGGACTCACCTTTCAGGGGGAACTTTCCAGAGCAGCAGACGGCCTCGCTCAGGCGTGTCGGGGAGCTGCATGCAGGTGAGGAGGCTGGTTGAAGTCGAGGATGGAGTCAATGACAGTCTCCCAAAGCAGTGTGCGATAGGGGTGCGCCCTTGCTGCTCTTCAGAGGGCTGGGATCCCAGGAGGAGAGGCACTCCGGGGACATGTGCGTGTGAGGGAGAGCGATGGTGAAAGAGTGCTAGGGGAAAGAGAGAGAGCTTTAAAGCAGGAAAGGTGGAGCTGTCTCAACCCGCAGTAAAGCACCCCTAAGACAGCTTTGTGGGGGGGGGCCCCCCCCACCCCGAATGCCTAGCCTTTTATTTTCTGCTCTTCCATATGTACTGCTACAGCAGGGGTAGGAATGTGGATTTGCCCCATGGGGCAGGTGTTAAACGCAGCGGAAACACAGGGAAGCGACTCTGCCAAAGTCATTTTTCGCCCCTTTGTCAGGAGCTCCGGTCATACATGGAAAGTCTGAAAATGGGATCCATAACTAAACTGACAACCGGACAAGATGTAAGCAGCATCTGTACATGAAGGAAACTCATTGTTTTTGCAGATATCATGCAGTACAAGTTTCTGACAAATCAGTACAATGAGCGAAGACAGAATTCTGGGAAATTTCCAGAGTTACAGCCGCCCAAGGGGCTCTGGGGAGTCGTGTTACGAAAACAGCAGAAATGCATCCCAGGAGCAATAAAAGCAGCCCCCCCTCCCACCTCTCAGACCCCCAAAATCATCCTGCTTTAAGGGGGGCAGAGGTCGAGCCGCACACGTGCTGATACGCCCAAAACACAAAGGCGGCACCCCCCCACCCTCCGCGTGAACAATGGGTGTCATCCGCTGTTGGGGTTAACTCCAAGTCAACTGATGCCATGGGACATACCAGTGACTCAGCCTGTAGGAAAGGGGGGGGGGGTATGATTGATCAGCCAAGCAGCAGTTTCTTGCATGTGCTGACCTATAGTGGCTAGTGGTAGGGATGCAGGTGGGGATGGGGTACTTCAGCCTTTGTTTCCCCGTGCTGCCTGGGTATTGTGGGATGTGCAAAGGCATACTCTCCTTCCCTGGAGAACTTCGGGGGTGGAGGGTTGTGGGACCAGTGCAGGCGAGCCTCTGGAATGTCGAACCCCCCGCCCCCCCCCAAAAGGGGTGGAGTCTTGCTGCACACCAACTAGGTACATCTGGGCCTGAGATGCCAACTCGAAGACACACAGAGCCACCAAATCTGCCCCTCAGGGCCTACAGAGTAAATTCAATTTAATCCAGCCTCAATGTATAAAGAAAACAATTCACAGAATACTAATATAACTCACCTTGATATTTCTATATCATATTTCACAAGAATCCCACAGCTAGAGGGCTGGCAGACAAAAGGCTAAAATTAGCAGGTAGCCAGGGGTCATTTGCATGTTTAGAGTTACATGTTAGGTTGTGCATGTTGGCCATACACATGCATGCTCAGCATTCTGCATGTTCAGTATCACCCGCTTGGTGTTGCGTGTCTGATGCTGCATGTCTGAAATTATGTTTGTCATCGATTAGGAATTTGTAGGGTTGGGCTCCTTCTTCATGTTCCTCACAATGCCATGGAAACATGGCAAACGCAAATCAGCGGGCATTCAGCATGATGGGCTGACAGGTTTCGACAGGCAGCACACCAAGATGTGGATCCTTCACCACTGAATCCAGCCTGATGGTGTGAACACTGCACTGGGTGCAGCTCCTTTACCGCCAATTCCGGCTTGATCTGATGACAGGAAAGGTGCACTGGATTTTGCTTCCTCACTGCCATCTCTAGCACAACGATGGGAACAGTGCTCCGCGTGTGGCTCCTTCACTGCCGACTCTGACCCGATGATGAGAATGGCGATCCGCTTGTGGCTCCTTCACTGCCGACTCTGACCCGATGATGAGAATGGCTCTCCGCGTGTGGCAGAGATGCTGTGAGTATAGCTCTTTCACTGCTGACCATGTCCCAGTCTGATGACGGGAACAATGCTTTGTGTGCAGCCCCTTCTCCCCCAACTATGGTCAAGTCCGACAACGGAAACAGTGTGCCACATGCAGCTCCTTCACTGGACTCTGGTCCAATGATGGGAAACAGCACTCCGCATCCGGCTCCTTCACTGCTGACTAAGGCCTGGTCTGATGACCGAAACAGAAACAGTGCCCCTCGTGCAGCTCCCTCTTTGCCAACTCTGGCCTGATGATGGGAATAGGGTACCATATGTGCCTCCATCATCTCCAACTCCAGCCTGGTCTGATGACAGGAACAGCAAACAGCATGTGGCTTCTTTACTGCTGACTGCAAAGATGAGTTTTTATTCTACGGTACAGGTTTTATTTTATTGTAAACTATTTTCACTTGTTTCCCACACTATGCCAGATGCCAGATGCCAGAATGTGGTCATGAATCAAAGTCCACATTAGTCACACTTACTGCTGCTAGCCTCACCCCAACGTGAAAAAGAACCATGGGACGCTCTCGCCCATCACATGCAAGCCCCACTTTATTTATGTCGTTCATGAAACAAGCATAACACAACCAGGCTCATCATCTCCCTTCAACCCCAATGATCTGGGCAGGATATTTACTCTAAGATCACTTTGACCTGCAGTCAGATGGTGTAAGAGGCTCCTCTGTTGACTGACTTTTAACTGGAGGTCCTGCACGACCACAATTCATAGGCAGAACCATAACTTGAGTGCTGACAGAGAATCCTGTTTATGTTTCAATGTCCCAGCCATCGTCCCCCTTGTGGCTGAAACACAGCACAGCAGTGACACTTGGATTCTAATGGCTGTGGAAGGTTCTGGATTTTCAGCTTAAACACACTGGTTCAGTAGGCTGAGGAAGGGCTAAAGGAATCCAATTCAATTACTGAAATTACGAATCTGATCCATCTCTTATCTGCTCAGCTGAACTGAAAAAAGTGGGAATTAACCCTGTGACAGGGAGAACACATCTCTGTCAGGATGGCTCACGACAAGATAAACAAGAAAAATCAGCAGGGTGTGACATCGGTACGGTCACACTGCCATCACCTCAGACCTGGGTTGGCTGATGTCCATGGGAATTAGCCATTGTGACAGCTGAAGCAAGCAGAATGACAGAAACTGGAGTTCTTCAGTTCAAGAGCTTCACCTTCCATCCAGGAAAACATGTCTTATCTGGGGAAAAACAACAATCACATCATAACAGAGGAAGGAGACTGCAGGGACCAACAATTATATCCATCCATTTTCTGTAACCACTTATCCTATTCAGGGCTGTGGAGGATCTGGAGTCTATGGGTACAAGGCAAGTAGCAACCCAGGATAGCGTGCCAAGCCATTGCAGAACACACTCACACACCATTCACTCACACACCATTCACTCACACATGCACACCAATGGGGAATTTGGTAACTCAAATTAACCTCAGCATGTTTTTGGTCTGTGGGGGGAAACTGGAGTACCTAGAGGAAACCCCAAGACGACGCGTCAACAAGTGAACGCCACACACATGGAGCTGCGGTGGAGACTTGAACCCTGGTGCCAGATGAGGCAACAGTGCTAACCACTGTGCTGCCCCCCCACAAGAGTTACAACAACCTTATAATCTGAGGAACCCTAAGAGCACCCATCAATCCATCTTTCAAGAACTTATCCTGGCCAGGATCACTATGGATCCTGCAGCCTATAAATTCATTTTTACAAATCTGTTTAGTGTGAAACACCTGTTTATCACAGTTGAATCCCAAGGAATGTGAAAGCGGTTTACAGAATATCACTGACATAAATGTTTGTATTCCGACTGACTAAATGGCACTGATCACTAAGAAGACCATCTCAAACACTGCTTTCTGGGGAGATGGTCAATTTATATCTGAGTGGAAGGAAACCATGCTGGGGACACGGCTAAACAAAGGGCACCACACCTGGGCAAACCCCAGGAGTCCGGACACTTGGGAAATCCATCACAGGAAGGAGATAAGGAGAGAGAATGCAGAGGTGGGACTTGCGGTATGTGGTCTTTACTCCAATCTGCCATTTGGCTCCGAGGTACATTATCAGTGTATCGCGTTGCTGTTGGCTCCACAAACCATTTTGTTGGTCAACAAGGGGAGCAGAATGGTGGAGATGGTTAGGAGCTGAGGTCTGGTGAACAGGTTTAACAGGCGTGCGCCTAGCCCAGAAGAACAGCAACACGGAGCGCATTACGAGCATGTCTGCGAGTCTGCCTTATGGGCTCGGGTCATGAGCAAAGGGTCAGATATGTGCTCCAGCACTACCAGCATCTGCTGTCTGAAGGCGATTCATCAGGAACTTCAGACAGTTAAAGAAAAAAGCTGTCTCAGAACATTCCAGAAGGCTGCAGATCCTAACCAACAACTAGAGATAAGAACATAGTGAAAGATGCACCAACATCCTCAGATATTCCTACTCAGCATGGACCATTGCACAACCAATGCCTTACCAGAGTGTAGCTGGACATGGGCCAAAAGCCAAGGCCCATCCAATTCAACATATATGGAGATGCTGTGATGAGAGTTTGACTTAAAGCATGGGAATGGGTTCTCCACATCACAGCTCCCCATCTACATGCACGAACAACAAACAGAGAACTTAAAGGAGAGCCCAAGTCAAACCAGTCAATCAGGGCATAAGATTCAAATGAGGTTGGACGTGGAACCTGGACATAGCTGGACTGAACGGGCATGGACTGACTTGTGGTTAGAGAAGCCCCATATTCTTACTGAAGAAAAGCTGCACAGGTGTGGGGCAGGTTCATCACAAAGCCTTCACCACATATCTGCACAACATGTGCACTTTGAACGTAAAAATGAAAGAAGTATGAGGACGTGCAAGAACCATGGGGACAGTGCATACTGCAAAGAAGGTAATGAAGATCTGAGAGTTCAGCACCTACTCATGCAGACCGCATTGGGCATGAGGTTCTGCTTTTGTACTCTTGAAACGAGGTGGCTAGCGTGAATTTCAAGAGTACAAAAATATCCAGTGGTACGGTAAGAAAAAAAAATCTTTTAAATGTTAAAAATGAACATCCACAGTGCAACATTGTGAATCATCTGATGTGTTCGAATGAAAACCTCTTCTAAATAAATCACAGAATGGAATAAATCATTCAGACAGATCCATTCAGTGGTTTCCAATGGCCCTCGGCAAGAGAGCAGTGAGCCAAACTGCAGGGAGGTGTGGCTGGAAGAGAAGGCCTCAGCAGCACAGCCCCAGGTTCAGGACCGAGGGCCGTAAATCAGGGGCCCCGTGCTCCCCCACCAATGGCTGCCAGCTGTAAATCTGCAAGCGTGTATGAACGGCAGGTCACCTGTGTTACCACATGCCAGTCCCGTCACAGGCGGGAGGGTGGGGGGTGGGGGGCTTCAGCACAGCAGCGGCTGCACTCAGAGCGCTACAACCAGGAAGCATCCACACTATTCTGGACCTGGTCAAATCAAGATGTAATTAGTCTACTGCTCCAGATCATCACATCGGTCCGATTACCAGCTGTCTAAATGCCAAACCATCTCCCACTCTTGCAATGCTGCAAGCTTTGAATCAAATTCATTATCCTTGGTGACGGCTGGACCACTCAAGCACAAACTCATTTTCCAGGTTCCCTTGTCCCTCCACAAATTCACTGGGACTGTCCTTCAGAATATGGGGATGTGTTACGTAAAAGATCAAAATCCATCCTCTTTATATTACGAGATTATCCCACTCAGATTCATGTCCACTACAAATCAATCCCCTAACCCTAAATTTAGAAACCAAACCAATAAACAGACATGTCAGCTGCCAAAGCCTCCCAGCCAGACTGGACGGTAAAACCTGCACAGAGAAACATCAGGCTGAAGCATGGGAGGAGACTCACTGTAAGTCTTTTCTCCTGACTCACCAACAGGAAACCACCTGTCTTTAATGACCAATAAGAGGCACCATGGGAAAGGTCTAGAGAAACTACGCTAAGGAGTCAGACAGTTCAGTCCTGAGAACAGATGCAGCCGAACACCTTGATAATCCCTCACAACTTCTTCAATGTCCAATTAGTTCTTAGGAGATAATGTCAGTATTTTCAGATGCTGATCTGGTTCCATGAAGTGGCTAATTACTTCTTCCTGAAAACATCCTCCTGCTGTGACTGCGTGTCAAAATGAAACATAACTATCATCTCAGTGCTATATTCCGACCAAAGATCAAATTTCTGCAAGTCAAATTCCTGGTTTCTCAAATTCCTGATGTGTGGTAATAAGGCGCTTCTGGAGAGGATTCACAGAAGCTTTGCAGATGACACAGCTTCCAAAACACCCTCACAGCATCCACACAGGCATCTGCTTCCCATTCCACAGCATGTTGAGCAATGAACAACAAACATATTGGATAGATCCATCAAACAGCAATAAATAAACCTGTGACATGGATAAGATAAGCGTCTCAATGCACGCACATCACCAGAAATCAAATGCTACTTTAAAGGCACAAGATAAAGGCTTGGAGATTTAATACAGGTGTAGGAGGGCTTACTGGAAGAATGCATCCAAAGATGGACAATCTTTGTCCCCCAGCCTGGTGGTGGTGGTGGGGGAGGTTGCACCATACAAAGCTGCATGCCTTATCTTCTAGAAGGATTCCCCACCTCACCATCCATAACCAAGAATCAGCAGGGATCCTGTCACAGGGTGGATCTCATGTTACAGAAGTCAAATTTCAAATCCCCAGCTTCATAGTAAAGGAACCATGAAAAAAGGCTTTGAGGTTTAAATATGAAATTTTCCTGCATAACAGGACTGAAACCAGACGTTTTGCCCTGTATTCACAAATCTGCTTAACATCCAGTGTTAATAAAATTCCATGGAAATCACTTCACACTGCAAACAGCGCAGTTGGCTTCACTATCATCAACAATTAAAATTGGCCTTTTGGGCTCCAGAGCCACATCTCTGTGGAATATGCACTGCAGCCAGGGACCACTGTACACTGTGCATTATCTTTACAGTGAAGTACTATGTACTGTGTAGATTCCCTTGTCCTCTAACCAAGGTGATACGCTTGGTGAAAAGCAGCCCTATATTTAACTGACCTTACAAATCTGGGTGGCCTTAATGATCCAATTTAAAGAAGGTTCTCCTTAATATGTAGGAAGTATGCTAATGAAGTCATCAGTCTTGTGAAGGCCTCAAGCATTCAGCAGTTTCCCAGGTTTGATTCTGAAATAGTTTTATTTTCCTTCTGGGAACTAGTAATTACTTACACACCCTAATCGTGCATGCACACTTTGAGTGATGATAGCAAGGCTGAGTGAATGGATGCATTTTTCAAACGATGAATGTTAAGGTGCTTTTACATCCGACCAAACGGGCCAAAACATAACGTCCCCCTGGATGCCAGGTCCTCCTTATTTGTGATTAATGTTGGAGTGAAAGGTCAGCCTCAACCCCATCGAATCCGAAACGGTGCCCCAGTCTGAACTGCAGGGTAAGCAGCCTCCAGAATGACGGGAGCATACTGACATGCAATGAAGGGCAGAGTAACTGAGCAATGAGTAATACAGTTTAACAAGCAAACTTGTTTATCTGCTTTTATAAATCGTAAAAAATGAGCAGATAATTCTTCATATGTGTACTGATTAGTCCAATTAAAGGACATTAGCAGCTCCTTCTTCAAAGCGATATCTTTAATTACAAGTGGTGAAACTCCCACGCAGTGCCGAAGAAAGACCAGCTTCTCTAATTAAAAAAGTTACTTTCCGTATTAGACGACAGCAATTAATTGCCAGTCTTCTAACTTCAGCGAAACTATTTGCTTTCATTGGCACTAAATGGGAGTGTGTGTGGGGGGGGTAATCTGTTGTTCTATTATTATCCAAGTGAAAGTACAGTTTGTTAAACCAGCCATTTATACATTAGTGGGGCAATAGGACATGCTGTGAAGTGGGAGAATGCCTGGTTATATAATATTTAAAATTAAGTGTGGGGTGTGGAAGCCCCCCTTCATCATTATGAATCAGGACCCCAAATATCTTACACCACTGGTACAAAGTGACTCTCGCGAGTGTGTGCACAATGTATTACCGGAGTGTGTCGGTCTGAGAATGTTCAGCATTCCTTCAGCCAGGCGTGTAATGGCCATTGGCCGGTGGGCTGGACTTGTGAAATCTGGTCTTTCTTCCCCAGCCCTGGAATTACAGTATGTAGCCTACATAGCGGGGGTGCCCAACCTGCTCGGTTGATTTGGGCGTGTTTCCATGTCGACAGCAGGAGATGATTAACGGTTCATGCTCATCTCATTGTTTGCCAACGAAGTGGCCAGTTGACCACGATCAACCAAAAATACCAAGGAGACCCCTCCTCGCCCAGGTCAGAGGCAAAATCCAGGGCTGATTTCTGTTGCCAGTCCACGTCAACCTACAGCTATGCGTGAACAAGATGCCACCCTACCTCTGTTGCACACCGACTGCTCTTTCGACATTTCCCCCCCCATATCTGATGCTGTGAGGATCATTCTTATAACCTGACAAACTGAAATGTCAGGGACATGTATAATTAAGACCTAGGCTGAAGCTTGTTAATTACATTGATCCACTCTTGAGTTAAATATATAATTTTTTAAGTTAAATTAAATGTTTTAGATGGAATTCTGATTGAGTGGCTTTTGGCTAAATCTTACATTTATGTAATTATGTGGCTCTATTATTCAAAGAACCATTACTCCCCATTGAAATGCTGGATATTTCCTGCTGAAGTAACGAGCTTCACGGTACAACAGCAAACCCTCCGAGGCTTTCGAGTCTATTCAAGCCCAAATTGCAGCATTACAGCGAGAGCAACAAATATTATTAACTATATAAACGACAGTGATGCCAAATATAGTTTTAATTGCTTCTTTGAAGAGACAGCTCTCGCTTCTGCTAATTAAGTAGTTCACATATTTATCGATACAAAAATCTGTCTGTAAAATTTGGTACTTTTTTAACCTAAAATATGCAGCAATGTCAACATTATAAAAATAAATGCTGTTTAATGTTGAACTGGGAAGGTACGTAACACATTTTAAATAAAAATGACAAATGGTCAAGGGGAATGGATTTAGTCTAATTATGTAACCGACCTTATTTGTATACTTTTACATTTACTAAAGCTTTATATTATTTTAAATACACTAACAGCCAAATTATTAGGATATGTTTAGACCAAATTGGACTGAGACACAAACCACCTTGCTCGCATTTTCTTCAGGATCCGGGTAGCTAAATTACCAGCGACCTCTTTACTTATCGGGAACGTCTTTTGAACTACTAATACCATTTCACCTAAAAAGTAATGAATTTTAGCTCACTTCCTTTCATTATTACTGGGAGTTGTAGTTCAACCTCATTCACTTGTTCGCTAAATCCATGATTTTACACATCTGTAAGACATCATTACCCAGAAGTCCTCACGTTAAACCAGGAAACGCCATAAGCCGGTAGACGTGTCATACGGCTGTTTTGCTTTTTTAAACATATTTTACAGTTTGATGTAAACGTCACTATGCTAGTTACGCGTTTATCGATGCCTTGATTTGTAATAACTTTGCAAAAATAGGCTGCCATTAATACCAACAATGAATACAATATTTGCGATCAGCCTTGTATTCATTGGTTGCTGCAGTAACGTTGTGTTTCTGGAACTTTTAGTAAGGCAAGTTGATCTCAGTTTCGTTTCATTTATGCAGTACGCAGACCTTTTTATTACATCGTTAAGTGCGTTATTGTGCTGTTACATTTACTTGATTAAGAGATCAGTTTACATGCCCCGGGACATGTTTTAACGTGTGTGGCATCTCTGGATTAAGGTTACATGCATGACTGGGGTTTGCGAATTTTTTTTAATTGTACCGTTCGCAATGATTTTGCGTGGTTGATGTTAATAATACAGCAGTAATTGTTGGGCATTACAAAACTCCTCTCATCCAGAGAGAACTTTTCATAGGTAGATGGATCTATTAAGGCAATTTGCACGTCGGGCAGACATTTCTAATGTGTACATGCACATTTTGCTTCAGGGAGTATCCAGGTTCTGGGAATATTATCACATTCTCACAATTTGCCTTCATTGCACTTGAGGGGTTTCTCTTCGAAACCAATTTCGGAAGGAAAAAGCCCGCTATTCCCATCAGGTACCGCTTAACCGCTCACTTGGGTCCATTCGTTTAATTCATCATGTATTATCAAAAGAAATAAAGAAGCTTGAGTTTTAAGCATGATAAGTGTACTGGGACATAAGTCTGATGATCTCGACCCATTGACTTTTGAACTGTAGGAACTACTTGATCATGGTGGCAATGTTTTTCACCGTGAGTGTGATCAATAACTACGCTCTCAATTTCAACATCGCCATGCCGCTGCACATGATCTTCCGATCAGTAAGTGCAGTTTAATGCGTCGGAACTGCCTTCCCTCACAGTCTATGACGACTAATGTAATTTATGTTTTATTTCAACAGGGATCACTGATAGCAAATATGATTCTGGGTGTAATCATACTGAAGAAAAGGTACTAAGCATTTCCCCCTTGTTAAGTGAATTGTAATTGTAACTGCATGTGGTATGATTACTATGAGGTTTTTGCAAAGGTTCTTAAGGAATAAAAAAAAAAAACTGACATTTTGCAGTGTTAAAATTACAGTTTGCACTATGACTTAGTGGAGCAGGACACCAGCCTCTGACTGAAGAGCCAGTGTAATCCTCGTATTTATCAGGAAGTTTATGTGCATGTCATGTGACCCGCCAGGATGAAATACAAAGCCTTTGATGTAAGTGTTTGTCTCTGCAGGTACTCTAAAAGTAAATACATGTCCATTGCACTAGTCTCCTTGGGGATCTTCATCTGTACTATCATGTCTGCCAAGCAAGTGGTAAGTTCTTTCAAAGCGTGAGAATGAACATTAATGACCTTGTCAGCTCTGTTAATGCCATGATTGCCTACAAAGAGGTTCTGTCTGAAAGGCTGCTTGCACAGAACTTCAAGAGCTTTTCTTGCAGGTCAGGTTAAATGAGACTCTGTCTTAGAGCTTTTCCAACGTGGAACTGTGTGCTAGTCTCATAGGGCACAGTTATTCCCACCTAATCTGAAATCTGTTGAAAAATACCACTGGACTGTGGACTGTCACAGTGACTCTTGTCCTACAGAGCTTGGACCGGGCAGGTTCTGAAGACCATGGTCTCTACGTCTTCCTGCACTGGTTTCTTGGTAATTCTATGTGTTCTATCCAGCATGACATGAAATCTTACAATAACTAGGGGCAGTAAGAAATCTTTTATTTTTTAACAGTCAAGGTTAGACATAACTGGCCTTTGGGGTATAACCTGCTACGATGCTTGGAGGTGTTCGGGTCCAAGTTGAACCATGATATTGAGGATTCCCTTTCAAAGTTTCTGTTCTTTAAAGATGCTCCCTGGCTGCACACTCATGCTATTAACTATTGATTACTGATTGACTATTAATTATTGATTGTTATTCTTTAGGTATCGCTATGCTGACCTTTGCCCTGCTTATGTCTGCAAGAATGGGGATTTTTCAGGAGACTCTGTACCAGGAGTATGGGAAGCACTCCAAAGAGGCCTTGTTTTACAACGTAAGCTTCACCACTCAGCCGTCAGACCTCTGCATGCCATAAACCGCTCAGTCCAGGCAGCTCAGCGAAGCCGGCGCATCCGTACAGGAACCTGAGCTGGTGCTTGGCTCTGTTCATAAATCCACACCCCACTCTCCTGCCTGTTTGTATCACCTCTCATAAACGGCAGGCTTTAAAATTGAATGATGTATCTGTTCGAGAGGACCTCTTTGTTAAATAACGTCGGCAGTTTAAAGAAACAAGCTCAGCCCCAAAGCGTCGGCTCATTAAACGCGCAGAGACGGCGTGCCTGAGTTATGGCGCCTTTTAATATATGAAATGACATCACGTGGTGGCCATGAGGCATCGTGCTGTCCGCCTCTGGTCATTTTGATGGCCTCTGGCTGCTCCCGCCTGACGTGTGACCTCACCATCTGTCCTCCTCCTCCTCCTCTCATTCCAGCACTGCCTGCCACTCCCTGGGTTTCTGCTCTTTGCACCAAACATCTACAACCACTACGTGCTCTTCAGCCAGAGCGGTGCGCTACACCCGCCTACCTCCGCCATCACTCACCTTAGCTGACCAGTCACCCATCATCTCTGGGCCTCAGCCATCCTGATTGGGCAGCAGCTCCACACGGGAGGCTAAATAAGGTGGTTTCTCTTCTAGCTCCGGTTGACATTCTGGGACTTGGGATGCCAGTGCCAGTCATGTGGGTTTACCTGCTGTTCAACGTTGTCACACAGTATCCTTAATCCTGGTCTGAGAGGGGTTGGCTGTGTTGCTTTTATCTTCTAAGCACTAACTTCCTGTTTACAGCACGTATCAGGGATTTCAGTGTATCCAGTGCTGGAAGTCTGCAGTGCAGGATGCTGGCCAGTGAGCGGTGGTTGTCAGGCAGTGTGTGGATTTTTGATTAATCGCTGTTTTGATTGATTGACGTCTGTCTCTTACGTTTTGGCGGGATGATCGGAAAGGCGTAATGAGCCTCGCCACCCGGCCGTCACCCTGAAACTAGCACGCCGCACCCTCACACTGCACCATTGACCTGATCTGCCCCTCCCAGATACGTGTGTATCCGGGGCGTGTTCATCCTGACCACGGAGTGCACGTCACTCACTGTCACCCTGGTGGTGACGCTGCGCAAGTTTATCAGCCTCATCTTCTCCATCCTCTACTTCCACAACCCCTTCACCACCTGGCACTGGCTGGGCACCGCCGTCGTCTTCCTGGGCACATTGCTCTACACGGAGGTGTTGACCAGTGCTTGGAGCGCCCTCCGCAGGCCGAAGAAGGAATTGAAGAAGGCGGAGTGACCACAGCCCTCAGCAACCTGCTTCTCCGTGTCGCACTGGCTCATTTGTTCACACCAAGATGAATCACAAATAAATGGGACATTTTATTTTTTCATTACTGTATTAGTGTAGGAAAACCTACAAGATGAACACCTTCACCCGCCCCCCCCCAACTTAACGCTGTTCACTGATAGGAACCTTCATGTCTGTAACTGTTCACACGGTGTAGTCAGATGTTGCCCCCGAGACCAGTGCACCCAGCAAAACCGGTGTTCCCAGTTAGGATACCATTACGGGACCATGTAGCTGCCCAGTTGAACATCATAGATGTATGTGATGATGATGTTCTTCAGCACTTGAAGGAGGAGCACAGGGCCTCTTAAGCTTGAACCGCAGGCTGCCAAGGGCTGGTTTATCCTCCTGATGCAGCTCCACTCGTGAGCTTCTGTCTCCTCCACCTCAGGTTTTATTCCTTGTTTTTGTTTTTTTTGTGCGAAACCTTGTGCTTCTGTCTGCTGTGCTTTAGGATTTCTGTGTAAACAGCAGCAACTGTAAGCGCTGTGATTAAAGCCTGAAGCTGGACAGGGCCGCGCCTCCTTCTTTCCGGAGCTCGGCCCGGACCGGACCGCATGGGGGCCTCCTCACGGCCGGCTGGTCCGCGGGGATCTTCTCAGAGGCGGACGGTTTGCCAAGCAAACAGCGCGTCCTTGGGAAGGGACGTCCCTGCTGATTCTGGCATTTATGCACAGAAGGTTTCGTGACGAATATCTCCGCACTTTGGCAGGGTGAGGCGAACAGCGTCCATCGTGATGTTTGTTTGCAGTATGCAGAAATGTTTCAGTGGCCAGATTGAATCTAGTTTTTCAGCAAACGTAACTGTGCAGGATATAGGCTCTGGGCCACTAGTATAACTGGATCGAGTGGCATACAGCAAGTGAGCTGAACTTAAGGGCAGTTAGGACCATCCTGGTGCACAGTATCCCCTGCAGGATGCAGTGTGTTTATCTGCTGGATCAGCTGAACTGAATTGAACGTACATTAATTTACCTGCTGAAGTGATCAGACGTCGAGTATCTGCAAATGGGGCCAACGGAAGCGAGGGGCACCCCCTCTGGCCAAGCTGTGTGGGGATACGGTGCCCCACTCTGCGGACAGGGGCAACTGCAGCATGCTCCCCCTGCTGGCTATGAAGGAGCAGGTCCGTGTTTCCATAATTGCTGAGGGTCATGTTTTAAGGTCTTTGATTGAATATAGCAGAGCGAACACAAGCCATGATCCTAAAGGCAACATGTCACTACAGAACACAATAAATGATGTTCTATTACCATTTATTACTATAGATTATGAGTATCATACCATTTCATGGCAGGGGAAAGTAAAACAGTCCTACACAGTGTACTACGGCTGATGCAGCATGAGTAACATTAAACACGATACACGCTACTCAAAGCTCTCCCAGCCTGTTCACGGCTCTGAGGTCCTGCGTCCTGATGGGATGGGGGGCAGGATGGGTTTGGCATCTGCCCCGGGCCGGGATGAGGAGCCTCGGGATGCCAACTGGCTCCTGTCTGGAGTGGTGGTGGGGTCTGTGGGGGGAGGGGTGGGACAGATCACAAGAGGGACACATCACCGCTCACGGGAGCCTCAGCAGGTATGGACGGAGACGGGAGAAGGTCGTCCTGTGGGTGGGGGGGTTGCGATACGTGGAAGCTGGCCGATGCAGAGACCCGTATCCCGTATTTCTCACCTGCCGGCTGCTCTGGGTCCTGCCCCAGACCACCTGGGGGCTCCGGCCCGTCATACATGTCCTCCAGAGAGGCCCGGGCCAAGGAGAGCGTGGACAGGCCAGAGCTGGGGCGGGATTCCGGGGAGCTGGGGAGCCAGGAGAGAGAGACACCCCTGTCAAACATCTGACAGTCCCCCCAGCGATGAGCTGTGATCAGGAACACAAACACTGCCCCCCACGCCATAACCGACCCAGTGTGGCACGCGCGCAACAGATGGCTGCTTTCATTTTTAACCTCAGAAAATGACCCCCCAGGATATGAATGCTATGGGGGTTCTTTCCTCAGCCTTTATTAGTTTAATTGAATCCCACAGTTATACCCGTGACATTGATAAGGCCCACAATGGCTTATTGCAGAGAGTGGCACTGATGCTAACGGACATGCTAATGGTAACGCTAAACCAATGTTAACGTTAACGATAAGTAATAACAGGCTGGAATGGCTCATCGCAGAGCCCCATGATAATGGTAAACGCTATGCTAACATTAACCCTAAGCAATTGCAGGGCAGAATGGGTCATCGTGGACAGCAGTTATTTATGCTAACTGTCGTGCTAAAAGGTAAAGCAAAACAATGACAGCTGCTAGTGGCTGCAGAGGGAAGCGCTATGAGCAGATCGTGGAGGGAGATCGTAATGTCAGGGAGAGCAGGAGAGGCACAAACCTGTTCTCCCTGTGTTCTTGCTGGTAAGGGCTGACAGCCCTGGCCCCCCCCGGGGCTGTGACAGGGGACCTATGTCAGAGGGACAGTACATACATGTCGTACGTGTAGGTGAGATGCACACATGTCACACACAGAGGACATGGCTCTGGCAGAAGGTGTCACTGATTCCTACATCCTCCAGGAGACAGAACCTTCCACGTGGTGAGAGATGGGCTCGGATTTCCGGTGTCCGGGGCTGGAGCTCCGGAGGAGCACAGATCCCTAAAGCACTGGCCCTGAGCCATGTGGAGGTGTGGGGGGTGCAGGTGGACGTACCTGCTGAAGAGCTGGGTGTAAGCGGCCGCACTCTGGCCCGCGACAGCCTCCCTCGCTAACTGCCTACGCCTCTGCAGGGCGGCTGTTTCCTGCAGGGCAGAGATAGCGAGCCGACACATGTAGCACACTATGGACAAATGGAACGGAACCCTTAGCGCCTGGCTCCCCCTCCATGTGCACCGTTCACCTGGAGGGTCTGATCTTCCTGACCAGTGAAAGCCCTCTGATCTCAGACACCACCCCAAGTCTGACTGTTGCTTCAGGGCGTCCCATTGCCTCTCCTTGAGCGCACCCCCCCCCCTCCTCTGCACTGCAGTGGAAGCTCACGCATCCTTCTCAAGATCTCACTCTCAGGCTCTCTCCAGGCTCCCCGCTTGATGCCGATTCTCCGAGCCACGCCTTTCCATTGCAGGAGTGTTTACTGCCTTTCATGGTTCTGGCAGGTGCAGATCTCTGCCCCCTTAACAAACACCAACGCCCCCACTCAAGAACTGAGCTGTCCCAAGATACTGCCTGTTAAAGAAGAGGTTTACCCTGTCCACCGTGTTCATACTGTGGTTTACCTCCTCCTGAGTGTTGGGGAAGCTCTCTGCATTTGCCCTCAGACTCACTAACGGGTAAACAGGTAAACTACATCCCGGCTTCTCACTCACGGTGGAGGTCGTCTGTGGCACCATCCTGGCCTCGACTTTGTTGCCGAAGACTCTGTTATCGCGGTCTCTTTCTTTCTCGGCCGCCAGCGAGTCACCTGTCACACAGAAGACACCGCCACTGCCACCAGTGCACCACACACACACACACACACACAGACACACACACGCCGGCACGCACCCGCACTGGTGGCAGGCGTGGATTTTCCTGCCATCTGCTCATCCAAGCCCAGATAATCCCGCACCACCTGACTAAGCATCGTGTACGCCTCCCGGAGGTCATCTGCAGAAACACACTCCAGTCACTGACTGACAGTGAATAAGAAGAGAACTCAGAGTAAGCAGTTTGAGCTGGAGGGGGCACCGCCACGCTCACCGCAGGGGATGACGTTGTCGAAATAGCCAGGCTGCCTCCTGTTGACAGTGACGTAGAGAGCAACACGAGCCACGGCGGTCTGCACCTGGGCATGGCTGTAAAGGCCACGCTGACGTAGGCGGCAGGCATAGGCCTCCAGGTCTGTGGGCACAAGCAGCACGTAGCGAGGCTCCAGGCGGCTCATCTTCAGGCTGCGCACCCCCTGTCAGAAAACACACCCCCCCCCCAATTCAATTAACACTGGAATCCCCTCAGTTATTGTCCCCCCTCCCACCCACCCGTGCCCTCAGATATTGTGGGAAGGCAGGGCTAAAACGCTATAAACACAGATACTGTAGATGACCCATGAGGTGAAGGGCTGCAGGAAGTTAAGGGCCAGTGCCTCTCCTTGCGGCCCAGTTGTAGCAGCTTTTCTCTGGGCGCCTGAGTAAGACAACAGGCTGTCTGAAGCGGGGCCTTGCCTCCAGCTCCATGTGCACACAGCAGGCAAGGCCGTCCTGGGCTGCCGCCTCGATGGCATCCCACGACAGGCCATAGTGGTGCTCCCTGTATTGGATCGTCTCGATGAACTTTCCCTGTAAGAGACGGAGACAGAAGGTCAACAGCAAAAAGGTCTTTAGAAGGTCATGTGGTTCTTACAAAAACAAGACATGGACCCTCTGACCCCTCTCAGAGCTTGGGGGTCAGGTCTGTGTCCGTGTCTAAGGAGGACGGCGGTTCCTCTGCTAGAACCTCCCTCAGACACACCATGCGAGTCATGCGCTGGAACTCCTCCTCAGAGGCAAAGTGATAATCACAGCCGTCGACCTCCCCGAAATATGGGCTCCGGGTGGTGTGGCAGGTCCTGGAGTGACAGAGACACAGAGAGCAGGTTTGTGAACACAATGGACAGGGTATGAACACGGTGGACGGGGTAAACCGTCGCATGAACACGGTGGACGGGGTAAACCGCCGCATGAACACGGTGGACGGGGTAAACCGCCGCATGAACACAGTAGACACACTGTGGATATTGTGGTTATGCAGTAATTCAGATAAAATGTTGGTTAAAAACCTTGGTTGGAAACAAAATGGCTGAACCAGGAGTCGACTCACCCATAGGCAAAGAAGTCAGCAAAGTGCTGGCAGAGCTTGTGGGCCAGTTCCCGCTTCCCACAGGCCTGGGGTCCTGTGAGCACCAGCATGGGGTAGGGGGTGTCCAGCCCAGGCAGCGTGCTGGAACAGAGCCAGGGATCATGCCAGGTCCAAACATGCATTTGCACTGGATGTGTGGATTGTGGTTGAGGCTGTGAGCCCAACCCGGTCACCATGAGGGATGGTATGGACATGCTGGTACCTGTTAAGCAGAACCTGCGGCTGCATCAGGTGGTACATCAGGTGCACCATGTGATCCTTGGCTGCAACCACCTCAGCGGGGGGGTCAAACTTGTTCATGGCAGAAACCTGCAGACAGTACAGCTGGTCGATGAGAAGGGCGTGTCTGTGTTTCCACCAATCAGCTCGGTCAGGGCTCAGAGTGACCAATTGGCTAGTCAGGACCTGGGGCAACCAATCAGCACTCACCTTCTCCTCCACAGTCACCTCCTTTTGGTCCAAGGTGGTTAACCTCTGCAGGAAGAAGGTGACGGCCAGGCGGTAGTCGGGCTGATCCTGCAGAAGCAAGATCATGACGGCGGCGTCAAAGCACCTCACCCAGTTTGGGGAATGTTTATTTCTAAAAGGTCACGGCCTAAAAGCTTTAAGAGCAGCATTTCATGTTACCTGTACCGGGTTCTCCTGCAGATTGAGCACCCGTAGTAAGGGCAGGTCGTGAAGGTGACAGGCCTCCTTAATTTCACGCACCTGTCCCCCCAGGGAGGGAGAAGAACCACACTGTGCTTACGGACTGCAAACACGCACTTGTGCTCTATAACCCTCCTGTTTTCCCAAACAAGACACTGTGGCAATTCTGCCCACATGAAGCCATTACCCATAAGTGGAGATTTTTTAATCAGACTTGGGGGCTAACATAACAGTTAAGGGGGAAGTTAGGGGGGGTTGGTACCAGGTTCCCCTCCAGGTTGATCACTCCCAGGTAGTCCAGATTCTGGAGTCCAGAGAGAGACTGGATCCTGTTGTAGGACAGGTCCAATGTCTGCAGGGCCCGGAGGCAGTCCATGTTCTCTACTCTCTGGATCTGATTGGCCTTCTGTACAGAAACACACACAGAGAATGACACGGTTTGAGGAATGAAGGTTAATGTCATCTCCTGCATATGCATGAGGCTGCGAAAGCGCAGGTGAGTCTCTGACAGACGGGCAGGGCTGACAGCTCAGGACTGATGACTGTGGGGAGCCAGCAAAGCTCACCCCCCCGCCCCCTGGGATCCGCTAACCTTACCACCCCTCACACACTGTGGACCCGAGGCCCCACCCCCAGGGCCTGGCTCCACCCACCCCTGCCCAGTGTCATGCCGCGCAGCAAGCTGCCGCCAGCTAGGGGAGGGAGCATCCCACAGAGCGACAGTGTGGGGTGGGGGGTGGGGGGGGGGACAGGCTCACTCACACTCACAGTGGGGGGGGGGTGGGGGGTTGTGAAGAATCACTTTGATAAAGGACGGCAGGAGCAGTGGACATGGGGGGGGGGGGTAAGAGTGCAGTGTGTATGGGAGGGGTTTAGGGTTCGATGAAGATGTGTGGGATGGCCATGTGGCCCAGACCGTCAAGTGGCTTGGTGGGAATGTGCACAAGGCTGGTCTATCTGCGTGCCGCAGTGCCCGCATGGCCGCAGTGCCCGCATGGCCGCAGTGCTCGCATGGCCACTGGCGAGCCCAGCAGGCTGTCTCCAAACAAACAGAGCGGACCCCATGTCCCCAGCCTGTGGAAGACTGCCTGTATACAGCAAGGTGGCGCTGTCTGCAAACACACCGCATGTCTGCGTGCCAAACAGCACGGAAATCTCACCCAGGAGTGCAATTCCATCACTTAACTATGAATCTATGTCAAGTTTATACACCCTGAAAAACGTCAATATGAATTTGAAAACCTGAGAGCGAAAATGTCTGTGAAATAGATACTAAACAAATTTATTGTATCTCTTTCAAACAGACCAGCTGCATGTAATGATTTTTACTCCAGGAAACAGCCACTGAAACCTTTAAATCCTGATGCTTATGAACTGGGGATTATTCATTGGCATAAATGCTGTCTAAAATCTATACTGCTGTATTATTTGTATACCAAACAGAAAAATGCACAGAGTAATTCTACAGGATAATACTCAAATTACACAGTGGGATGTACCATCCACAGGCACTGCGGGGAGGACTGTGAGAAATGCATCGCAGAGACCTTGAAAGGAGATCTGGACAAGCGTGGTGGGAGGGGTGTGTGCAGGGACAATGCTACACGGAGAGATCACAGGGGGAGAACAGGAGCATACCAAAGAAACATCTCTGAGGGGCAGGCTGTTAAGACCTCGAGTGCTGTACAGCCTGTTATGGGCCAGGCTGAGGTGTGTGAGGCTCACACAGCGCTGGAGACCTCGGATCTCGCGGAAGTTATTGTCTGTTAGGGGGCAGGTTAAGATGAGCGTGGTCTGCTTTGTGCGAGAAGATCAATTAGAACATCGCGAGCCAACCCATTAAGACTAAGCAGGTCTGAGTCACAGCCGGTTCACATAAGAGAGACAATAAAGCAGGATACAGTCCAGGTTCAGTCTCCGGAGCGATGGATATGCTGACAGGTCTTTCATCTCCGACATGTGGTTGTGGGACAAGTTGACTTCCTGAAAAGCCGAAGGATGGCCTGTGAACACTTAAAGGTGTGATGGTCATCTCTGTCCCAGAGAAAGAGAGCATGGGACCATAGCCAAGGGACCTGCAAAGCTTCACACACATCCCGCTTAAGATTAAACACCCTCAGCCACGCTGACCCTGAGATTTCCACGGCGAGGCGGACAGCGTACCGGCCCAGGACGTCTGCGAGATGCACTTCACTTTCTGGCAGTATTTCCCCGAGCGGGGGAAGCCACGAAAGGCGCAGCTCACACAGTTTGCCAGTTTTCTTACCTCGAGGTTCCGCGGCGGCTGGAATCCAAAGAAGTTGGTGATGTCATTGTGAGAGGCGTCCAGCGTGATGAGGTGCGGCACGAAGCTGACGCAGGACAGATCTGTGAGTTGGAAAGTGGCAGGCGAGCTCTGTCAGGCAAGGGAGGACCCCCCCTCCCCCCATACTTCCGCAGTTTACTCCTGAAGGGCATTGGGGAGAATCTACCACATTAGTTAGTACTGGCAGCAGGTGTGGCTGCAGAAACTAGATGGATGCTGAGTTTCATCATCTATTTTTACTGTGTTTTCCAGGCAGATAGAGGGAAGTCCCACCTTTGATCTTGCTGAACGGCACTTCCAGGTTCTGGAGGTAAATGTATGAGCAGAGGGCAGATTTTCCTCTGGGACTCAGGCCCTGCTGGGGGACAGTCATGGTGCCAGTCACTCAGGGCCATGGACTGATGTCGATGAAGCAATCCTCACAGATTTGGGCCACGGTGTGACCTTGTGGGCTGCTGAAGCTCTGGTTTCATAATGCAGAGCATCTCTGGTGTCATAAATGGATAAACTGGAGATCTGGCGCCCCCAATGGGTTGGCTTACAAAAGCAAGACCGGTGAAGTCCAGTGTGGTCACTGGTGTGAATGCGTTTGGTTAAACCTACTGCTGACACACCCTCTCCAGTGCTGTTTGATTTGGACGGGAACCGCCCCTTACTGTTATGGACAGGGACCGGTACACGTGCTCCGCTGCCGTCACGGTCCCCAGGTCGGACAGGTGGTCTCCGATTTCATCTTCTCCTAATTCTCCTTCCTCCTCAAAGGTCCCAAAGATAACAGTTGAAATCAAATGGTGAAGGAGCAAGTACGCTGTAAGGGCTACAGCTACCATGCCCCCCCGAGAGGGAACCATGTTATACTTTAAGAAAAAGAAATCGTGGAAAGTAACTATTCAGTTTCCGAAAGTGCAGCAGATGCGAGTTGAGTTACAGCTAGAGTCGGAGCATATTAATCTCACCGACAGACAGGCACAACAGCAGTATAATTTACCATCAGCCTGGTTCACGGATCCATCATGATGTTAGCGAGATACCTTAATCTTTCCATCCTCCTCGTCCTCTCCGCCGGACGTGGGAGGCGCCACCACTACGTCCTGTGGCCTCGCACCTCCGGCCGGGAGCTCCGGAGCCGGCCGAGGATCAGTGACCACGGGCTGCGGGGCACACTCCGACACCGACATGTCCTTAATCCGCCTTACAGTGCCGTTAAGGCTACAGCTTCGGCGCTCCGGCGTCGTTTCCCATCGCCCGGCAACCGCGCTGAGGATTCTGGGATTTTTGCCCGGGAGGTGCGCTAGTTTTATTTTCTTATTTCATAGCGGTCTTTGAAGGAGAACGGGGGATGTAATATAGTTTGTATGTCCGATTTGTTCCGCATTCACGGTATCAGACGTTAATGCGCCGCGGATCGGATAATCCTCCGAGACTGTATTACTGCTGTGTGAAGGTCAAACAGAAGCGCCGGTTTCGACCGTGACAGTTGTGGTCTGCATTCCGAAAACCCCAGGATGGATTTATGTGTTCATACGTTATGGTTTTGCTTAAATAAACACCAGCAGCATGCAAACCCATGTGGCAGGTGGACCTGTGTAGGTGTAACACCGGACATGTGCATTGCACCCCAGGGGCGTCCGTCCGTCAGATCAACGGCTGTCAGCCTGGACCCCACCTGCCATGGTACCGCACTGTACACGTAATTTCCAGCACCATAAACCCGAAGGAAAACTGATGAAAACCGACATCTCCTTTAATCATAAAGACGAGCATATCAGTGTTATGTATACCGCTGGTAAACACATTAAATCAGTTAATGGCGCACACAAAAAGCGTCCCTTAATAGTTTAATATGCGTTGGAATACATCGGCAAATCACTCTTTCCTTTAACACGCTTCAAGGCAATTTTCTCATTTTGAAGTGAACAGAAAAAAAACTCCAGCAAATCCCTTTTTATATGTTACGGTCTCTTACAAAACATCCAGTACAATGCATCTGGCGGTCTAGTTGGCAATGAAGGAGATGGCAATTTTACATGAAATATAAGAAACAAGATTAGTGTAAAAATCGGGAGAGAAACACAAGGCAGGAGTGAGAATAAGAGCAGGAGCTGACGATCGCTTGCTCTCTGCTCCCCGATCTGCTTCCAGTCCCTACATCATGAAGGCGCGCTGAGCTGAGCTCGCTAATGGCGTTCCTCTCCCCCACACACCCATCTAGCTGTCCAGTCCCAGCCTGCGCTGCATCACTGTAAGGGACACACGGGTCAGCAATTCTCAGCCCCAGTTCTCCCCCAATTCCAGGAATGCCAAAAGGAGAAATGAGAAGCCACTGTTCACAGATGCCTCTCCCTCCCGCTCAGCCCCACGCGCGTCCGCCGGCACCCACCCGGGATGATGGATTGTTCTGGTGAATTCCGCATCCTGCACTGTGAAGAATAGCCCCGCCCCCGTAGAGTGCTTTTCCACCCAACGATGGCCTAACATCACCACGGGGATGTGATTTATATGTTAATGTGACTTTTTTTTTATATATATATATATCTCTGTGCATCCGCCAGGCTGTTTAAAACAGAAGAATTAAAACCTGGGAAGCCGCTTTTGCGCAGTGAGAAAGCGAGCCGGATCGCCGATTTAAAAGGGCGGCTGCAGCCTGGTATCCGGCCCGCAGTGTCTCCTGGGTAAAGGTGATGCAGGATTGTGCGCCTGATTCAATCCCGAACCCAAAGCATGGTATCGGGGAGGGGAGGAGCCCAGACGCAGAACAGCTGCCTACACAAACCCAGGTTACCCGAGTGAGATTTTATTACCACCAGGAGACCTGAAATGTCCCGCAAGGTACCAGCCCAGGTCTAGATGGGATTTTTACTTGATCAGCGGTTTGACATAATTATGGGGGGGTGTAGTGAACTGAAAGCTTAATGGGTGCTTCAGCAGGTAAGAGCAGAACTGTGGTAGTGACCAGCTGTGCAGAGAACGTAGGGACCAGGTGCGTGTGTGCGTGTGGGGGGTAAGAGCACAAGACTGAGGCGGGGGGGGGACAGAAAGCTGGGGGCAGTCCTGCTGGGACTCTGTGTGAGCCGCTGCGGTCACACGGTGGTGATCTTCTTGTCCTTGGTGGCTTGCTTAATGGCGGCCTGCTCGCAGATGATCTCCTTCAGCCGCTGCATGCGCATGTTCTGCACGGTCTGGTCGCCTACGCCCGTCTGGCTCCGGTGCAGCACGCCCAGCGCGTTGATGTACTCCAGCTCCGTGTAGCGCACGCCCTGGTCCACCACCAGGTTCAGGAGCTCGTCGGCCGGGTTGTACAGCATCTCGTAGTACTGCCTGTGCGGGCGGGAGAGGGGGCAGGTTCTCAAGGGCGGCTCTGAGTGGGCGTCTCCACAGGCAGCCGCGGCTGCACATGCACACCCCACACACTCACTTCCTGCGACCTTCAGCTAGCGGCTTCAATGGAGCAGGACGGCGGAGGGATGACCGCGCAGACTGGAGATTAGCCATACCGGAGCCGACTGCGCAAAGCAGAGGAAGGGGCGATGAAGGAGATGGGACCACCTGCTCTGTGTGTCACCTGGGTGTCGATGGGGGGTGGGTAGGGGAGTAACACCCCCAAAAAGGCTGTGGGCGGAGTCTGGCTGCTCATGACATGCAATGCAGCCCATCGAGGCAAGAGCCGGAGACGACGATTCAGGTCTAACAAAAAAATCTCAATTTTATGTTTGATCTGAAAGTCACTGCGATTTAGAAAAGGATTTAAAAAAATCCGACAAGAATATTGTAGGAAGACAATGAGACACAGAAAATGAGAGAGAGTCATGAAAGAGGAGTGAGAGTGACAGGCTGACGGCACCTCCTCCAATACAAGCTCATCTGTGTCAGCACCAGCACCCCCACACTGACCGGGCGGACCGGGGGGGGGGCTCTAGGGTTTGGGCATCTGTGGGGTGACACAGAGGACTCACTCCCCCCTCACAGGACGTCCGGAACAGTAGAGAGGTGCCAAACTCCTCATTAACCAAAGGCTTTTAAACTGTAACCCAACAGTGGAGGGTTGTTAGAGAGATGAACCCCCCCCCCGACTACACCATTAAGATAAGATAATGAAGAGGCTGACGCGGCAGCGTGGGAGGGGGGGGGGTGGAGGGGCTGTCCGCTCCTGCTCAACGCTGCGTCCCATTAAATTTCAATTAGCCGCTTAGCACATGCAGGCCTCTGCTCCCGAGGAATGTGAAGCTAATTGATGATGCTTGTGGTGTTGGGGGGGGGGGGGGCGCTCTGTAAAATGGGGGGAAAACAAAGGAAAACAGACTCGCGACTCACGGCGCTCGTGACCCCTGACACCCCTGACAGCCCATTCAGGAAAGCAGGCCATCCGCCGTCCTGCCCACGGCCACAGCACAGCATCGCAGCATCTCCCCCTCGCTTAGTCAGCCCCCTTCCAGCCCCCTCGCCCCTTCATGGCAAACGTGCCGTTTCTAAGCGGGTTTAATCTGGCGAATAAGGAACAAACCGCATGTCGCCAGGGGGCTCCCAGCACGGCCGGCCTGCGTGACGGCACAGAGAAGCGCCCCCCCCACCTCCCCCCCACCTGCTGGGCCTGTTCTTGTCTGACTGGATTCACAGCCTCTACTCATCAATCAATGACACACACAGACAGTTGAAAACACACAACACAGGCAGGCAGCTGTGTCTGTATGCTAACATATAATGCACACGGAGTCTGAACACATATACACACACACACACACACACATATACACACACACACACACACACGGCTGGGGGACCGAGCAGCTTTGACATAATAGTAACAGAACCTTTTCTCTCTGCTGACCAGTCAAGGAGGCTGGTCAATCATGTGGCGGCCAGTAACGTTGTACAAACGTTTCAGCAATGCTGTCCCCACAGTTGAACAGAAAGGGCGCCGGGAAGTTCAACTGATTGATTTCCACAAAGCGAAGGCGCGAAAAGCGCGTTTCTACTGCGATCAATGTGAGCTCTGCTCCCCCACTGGGGTGAGTGGGCAAGAGAGAGAGGGAGAGAGAGAGAGAGAGAGAGAGAGAGAGAATGTGTGGGGGGGTGAAAGAAAATCTATACGGCTGCATGCTTAACTTCGCAAACTCGCACTATTACGGGGGAAGAAAATGCAAAATACTGCCAATAAAGTCATTGGAAGTGAAGGGGACTGAATAAAGGAGACAGGAAGTAAGATGAGGGGAAGGAGGATGGAGGGAGAGAGAGGAGGAGAGGGAGAGAGAGAAGCAGAGGGAGAGAGAGGAGGAGAGGGAGAGAGAGGAGGAGAGGGAGAGAGAGAAGCAGAGGGAGAGGCTGTCGCAGAAAGACACAAAGGAAGCTCTCCCCGCCTCCTGCAGGGAAGGGGGGGGGGTCGGCTCCCTGACCTCCATCAGCTGTTCCTGCCGCAGCCGCAGCCCTCCCCGGGGACAGGATCTGACGGGCCAGCCTGGCCAGGCAGATGGGGTCCGAGCGGGAGCCGCCCTCAAAGCCCCCACACCCCTGCGGTACGCCGAGCGGCACGCGACCGAGGGCGGAGATTCCCACACAGGGCGGTGCGGCCTGCCAGGCACAGGTTTCAGCCGCGGCGCCTCCCCTCACCACTAGGGGCCGCTGTCCACTATCGCACACCGCTCGCTTACTCTCGGGCCGTGAGCCATTCTTCTTCAGGGTTTAAACTAAAATCAATTGTTATTACTGTGCCAGTGCTGAGCCTCTCAGCCAGAATGACCCCCCCACCCCCCTGGCATGGCACCCAGAGGTCATGTCCTTGGGGGAGGGGGGGAGGGAGGCAGGGGCCACTTTTTCTATAGTGCTTGCTTTATTTTTCTGCTTTTTTTTTTTTTTTTTTTTTTTAAAGAGGGCAGCATGCAGAACAACCAGGGGAGAGTGGGCTTTGAGGTGGGGCCTCTCTGTCTCTCTCTCTCTCTCTCACACACACACACACACGGCACAATGAGAGGATGTAGAAGGGGGACAGAAAGGTGCACTGAAGCGACGAGGAGAGACGGAGCCCTGGGGAGAGGGCGTCCCCACCTGGCGAAGTCCAGGTCTGCCTCACGGGACATGGTGATGTTGGTGAGGTTCTGCTGCAGTACAAAGATGTTACGGCACATCTTCTTGATGCCGGACTCGCTGATGCGCTTGAAGTACTGGACCCCGTTGATAAGAATGCAGGAAATCAGGTGGCCCAGACCTGCGGGGACAGAACATTCCGGAAAACCGCTTGAGGGAGACTGTTGCCACTAAGCCCCGATGACGCCTCCATGAGTGACCTCAAAAAATGCAGCAGATTACTGAGACCCATGAAGATCAGACCAGGCCAGAGAATGTTTAATTTTAAATAAATCAAAGGAACCAGTCAGGAAGTGTCACGCGTGACCTGGCCCAATGAGGGATACCGTAGCATATGGAGGTCACATGACGCAGGGTCCGCACCTTCAAAGATGTACTGAAACTTGTGCTGCTGCAGGTTGGCCCCCATCACCTCCTCGATGGCGCTGATGTCCTTATTCAGCTTCACCACTAGGGGGTCGTAGTCCATGCTTTCCACGTTGGCCACAATGGCATAGTTGCCTTGTTTGGCCAAGGGGATGAGGTAATGGAAGCAGTGCACTCTGGGAAGAGGGGGATATAAGTGCCGTGCATCACTGGCAAGCCACACCTCTACCATACTGGGACAACTTCAAAAATACAAGAAGAAAAGATAAAAACCTGTGTGGGGAAAACAGAGGGTAGATGGGAGGGTGGTGGGGATAGTTCACTGAAATGCAGCAGCCTTATTTACAAAGGTGTCATTTGATCGAGTGAAAAGTGAAGCCACAATGACCCCCAAGGACAGCCGCAGTGCCAGTCCCCCCGGGGAGGTGTCCCGCATTTAGATTTACATTGGGGATAGTACGATCT